TCCTATTCCTATTCCTATTCCTATTCCTATTCCTATTCCTATTCCTATTCCTATTCCTATTCCTATTCCTATTCCTATTCTATTCCATGTATGTTTATCAGCCAAATCAGAAGAAAGCAGTAAATGAACATCAACATTAGTGATTATTTCTCACATTCTGCTGCCACAGAACTCCCATTTTTCTTTTTATTTATATCACATAGAGTATTTCAAATTAAAATACTACCATGAACAGCATCACCACGGTTACCAGAACTGCATTCACTATGTGCAGCACCTCACAGGCATTCACTGATTTTCTTGAGAAAACCCTGGGGTATTGGTTCCGAGAAGCAAGCATTTATCACAACAGAATGAAGTAGCTATTGTCAGAGGTGGGATTCCTCTGTCTAAAGTGAGCCTTTAGGCACCTCAGCGTGCACAATATATCCACATGGGGTTGACACGTATTACAGGAAATCTAAAATATTTATTTTTCTTTAAGCTATTTGGGATAGCCCAGGTCATCTAAAATGCACAGCAAAACACTACTGTATTTCTCAGGAAGATGTCTCCTGAAGTCCAAATTTATTTCTAACTGAGTGGAAGATCTTGTACTTTCATTAGTCTGGATAAACAGATGACCTAAATTCCTATCATTATCAATCTGACACTAAAAGAGCATTTTAAATTTGCTCCCATTCATCTTCTGATACAGAACAGTGCTCCCAAGCAGTCCAGTGGTATTATCTTACGAAGCATTATGAACTGCTAATGAAGAAAATAGTGCAATAAAGTAAAATGATACAAGCATGGGCAGCAATGCTAAAAGGTCAGGAATGCCAGACCACATCATCCATTTCCTGCCTGTGTCTTTAATCCATATTGCTTTATGTGGGTGCTGTTGAGGTTGAAGCATTACATGACAGTCCAAGCCTGAGCTAGCAATGAAAAAGGTATATTTTAAAACACAGAGACACTGAGATATGTGGACAACAAGTATCCACATAAATATTGCTAAAATCAAAGAGGGTTTTCAAAACATACAATAAAATATCATTTTTCTTACTGATGTCTGTTGTTGCAGTAAGTACTTCGCTGTTTTAAATCCAAGCCTTGGATGTTAATTCCACAGTTCTGCACATCATCCTGTTTGCTGTACAAATCTGCATTCCAAATGGAGAACTGAGGCTGAATTTTCCAAAGGCCAGAGGATTTAAATGTTGTCAGCTTTAGAAGTTTACCTTCTGTTCCGTCTTATTGTTGAAATAGGTCAAATTCAGCTCAAGGATGTTTGGCCTCATTCTGCTTACTTTATTTCTCTGTTCCAGAAGTTCTGTTGGATTAAGAAAAGGGTCTTTGTCTTCAAATAATTTTTTCTCTACTTACGTAAAATTACATTATTTCTGTAGGGGAGTATAAAACAAAATTACTGGATATCACAGAATTGCAGGGATTGAAGGAGACATCTGGACATCATTGAGTCCAACCCCCTGCTATAGCAAGTTCCCTGCAGTAGGTTACACAGGAAAGCATCCAAAAGGTTCTTCAGTATCCCCAGAGAAGGAGACTGTCTGGGCAGCCTGTTCCAGTGCTCTGTCACCCTCACAGCAAAGAGATTTTTCCTCAGGTTTGCATGGAACTTCCTGTGTTTTAGCTTGTGCCCATTGCCCTTTGTTCTATTGTCAACAACAGATATTTCTATTCTAAAGGAAAAATGATTAGGCAGACTTCTTTGCATTTGACAGATCAAATGTAGGGCCTTTTCCATTTCCTTGGAAGTCAAAGGAATTAATTTCATTAACCTTTTTTAGGTCAAGGAAATATTTGTGTATATTTTCTCCATGACTGCACTATTGTACTAAGAGGCAAAGAAATGTTTTTAACTCCTGGGTCATTTCCCTGGCATTTTGGTACCTTCCTCTTTCTGCTTTCTCCTGCGTTTCTGGTTATTTCACTTCCTAATGGTTCCCTCCCTCATTCTGATCTTCTTGAATTCATTCTGGTTATTGCTACTGACCTCGCTTATTTCAAAGCTGAAGTCTCTTTCCCTGACTGGTTACTACTAAATGAAGTGTTGGTATGTTTGTTAGCTCTCCTTCATATGGTATTGATCAAAGACCTTGAGTGCTTGTACTTGTTAGTCTGTGATGAGAAACTTTCCTCTGAAGTGCTGTGATTTTATTCTTCCTAGATTTACCTGTGATGATGTTGACTTCAACTTGCGTGTCCACAGTGCTGGCCTTCTTATTTGTCGGTTCAATCACTTCAGTGTCATGAAAAAGCAAATTGCAGTAGGAGGACAAAGATCCTTCCACATTAAGTCCAAGGTGGGAACTGAGACTTCTTCTTCCTTGTTAAAATTTTGTTTTCCCTTTCGTACCCTGTAACCAGGAGAGCTGAGATATTAATGGTTCAGGTGCCAGTAATGGGATACATTTGCTTCTTTTTTTTCTAAAATCCAATTTTCAAAATTACCCCAAATAACATTTTACAGTAAACATAACCATTCACTGTAAGTGTAAAGTATTGATTACTCATCTTCAAATGATTTCATATTCAGGAGTACTTTGGTATCAAAGAAGAAAACTCTAAGTCTCTGTAAATACAAATATAGTTATTTGAATCTCTCAACATTTTTAGTAGCAGATACGTTTGTCTGAATGACTATTCTTGTGTAAGTCTTAGATTTTTGGGTTGAGATGTGTTTTGTACAAACCAGAATTCAGATAAATGCAATGTGATTGATCAGGATTGATCTGTGCCAGAAATATTTTTTCCTCATAGGTATCTGACATTCCAGTTTCAATCTCACCTGCTCAATACATTTGTGCTCCTGACAGCAAGCATACCTTCTTGGCAGCACCTGCCCAGTTACTCCTAGAAAAATACCTCCAGTATCACAGCCACCGCTTCTTCCCTCTCTCACTGAAGAATTATAGACATCCAGTGCTCTCTGTTGACTGTTACCTCAACTTAGGACCGCAGGTATGAAACAAAGAAATCTTTAATTTGCTTTAGGAATGTATTGCCTATGTTTCAGATGAATTTGTTGATGGATGCCTTCAGAACACAGACTTCAAATTAACAGATATTAGAACCCTATGGTGTTAAATTGGTCTTATAGAGGTATTGGGGGAAACTACAAATAAAGTACATGGAAAGCAATATCAGAGTTGTCCAATAGAATTGGTGAGTGGTATTAGATTTTTAACTTACATAGAACACGTTTTTTTTAAGAAGTGTTTTCCCAGTCCATTGTAATTTGGTCCTTCCTACATCAAATATCTTCCACAAGAGTTTTACAAACACTAACTAGTCCTTAAAAAGCACTTCAAAATACAAAAGTTTTTGTCCACTTTTAACTGACAAGCTGAGTCAGAGCAGCAAATACCAAGATACACAGTCAGAGTGGGAGAGGCTGACATCAGCATTTAAGATCCGTTGGCTCTCCCCAGTGGCTTTGGACCTAAAGCCAAGGTTATTTTTAAATACAAATGTAGGTCATGTAGAAGTGCGATAGTAAGGAGCTGATTTTCACTAATCTATTTTTATCTTTTCACTTGACTTAAATACTAAATGAAAATCAGACTTGCTGCATTTACTAACTTAACTTCTTTACCAAAACAGCTGTGTAATGACCTTCCAATCTGTGCTGCTTCCAGAACATTTTGATCTCTGTCTTTCTTGCTCAGGGGCATGATTTAGCAGAGGGTTGTTAGAGTTAGGGTAGTATGGTTAGGTTGTGGTTGGACTCAATGATCTTTAAAGTCTTTTCCAACCTGAGTGATTCTATGATTGATTCCAGTCCTTTCTGGCTGAGCTTCCCATCATGCCTGAAAAAACAAAATCCGTGGAAGGGCACTGTGCTGTTAGTGCCTTCATCCACTGCATCCTTTCAGTTAAATTCAGTTTGGGAATTGTTACCTGAGCTAGTATATGATACAGCAGGGTTGAAGGAATTATTGCATCTACAATATGTATAAATAGTGATATCTTGCGCCAGTTTCTCTTGCTGTGAGTCAACCTTCCTCCACTGAATCATGCTGATTTCGGCTGGATGTGGGTCTGCCCCAGGTGAGTAGAAAGGCACTTCGGAAGTCCAGTTATATTTAGAGGATTCCTTAACCTGAAATTTACAAAACCTGAAAGGATGCTATAAATACTCCTATTTCCCACTGGAATAGGAGATTAATAATAGAAAAAGCAATTAGACAGTAGGAAACCTCATGCAATTATGTAGATGCACAACTAAACTGATTTTTTAATCCTTTTGTGATGTAAATGGCATTAGACCTTTCTACAGGGTTTTTCTTGTGTCAGACTGTGCACTTACTATATTTATGCTTGTGTAGATGAACTGTGCTGTGCAGGTCACGGAGTTATGGATGTGGGGAGCCATCATTACTGCAGCTTTCAAACCATTCATATCTAAACCTCATTATAGTAGTAATGAGTAATTATGACTAATGAATAGTTACAGATACTGCTTTTAGATTGCTTTTTAATAAGTAGAGAAATTGTTACAAAGGAACAGTAATGATCATAATGTTTGGAGTTGGAAAGCAAGTCTGAAGGTGGATCAGGTGCAAATACTGTAAGGTTGATGTGAAGAAGCCTGAAGAAAGCTAATTTCTATGTTTCTTATCCCCTCCCAATCAGATTGCAGTTTGCTATGTGAGTTCACGGCCTCACTCTCTGAATATCAGTTCCTCTGGTTTGACATTCAGTGGTCTCCTGCTGTACCTCTGTGACTCCTTTGTTGTAGCTAGCTTTTTGAAGAAGTTCCATTTTCTTAAAGGTGAGCCTCAACCGTTTTATTACTGGGAATTATATGACATGGTCACTGGAAATCTGGGATCAAAATGGGGAAAGCACCATTGATTTTGAATGTTATGTGAAAAACTGTGCATGCACATGTGTGTATTTATATTTGTGTTTATATGCCCTACCATCTCTGATATTTGATGATTCATCCATAACAGTGTTAAGAGTTCTGCAGACAGGGAAACAACGTTTGGTCTACACTGCTATGCATAGTGTAAACACATAAATTGTTACCTTATATTTGAAAATGATTATGTATGAAACATTCACCCATTGTGTTCTTGCAAGTGATGTTTTTTCAGTTGTCAAGAAAAAATGGATGATGATAAGACTTCATCAGAATCTGTTTGCTGTTCCTGGAAATATAAATGCTATCCTTATTTATATATATAATATATATAATATATCCTTATCCTTAAAAGTTATTCTTAGTATCCAGTTTCTTCACATAGTGCATATGATCATGGACAGCACTGGAGACAAATCACTTCTGTCTGTATTGCAACTTCTTTTGGATTGTTCTGCTGCTGTTGTAGAGATTCAGTGCTCTGGGGATTTGTTTCACTCAGCTACATCTGTCACTGGAGTATAAACACCACTGCCACTGCCTTCTTAAAACAGAAGTTATGAACTGCCATGTTCTTTTTTGTAGTTAATGCAGTTTTGTATAGGTATTTGTAGCACAGATTAGGGTACACAATGCTTTACCTGCATGTGCTACTGAAGCCACGTGAGTCCCTGTGTCTATTTGCATTCTGGAGCAATGTCCACATTTGAAGTATAAAAGGACTGCTTTCATTCAAAGTTACTCTGCATTTTTTTCGAGTGACAAGAAGCCTGCACAAATCAGATGATTTTTGCAGTGTGTAGCACAAAGTGTATTTGATTCAAGAGTTCCCTGTTTCCCTTGGCAGTTTAGTTGACCTTCTAATCAGTCAGTTAAGCATTAAACACCACTCGACTCTCTTTACTTTTATTGTATCTCAGCTGTTTCTGTCTTGGGCATCTCTTTCTATCTCACCATCTCTTTTGCAGAGTAATGAGAGCAGGTGAGGTGATTTCCTCTTGACTGAGCACTTTTTTCAAGAGCCAGGAAATCATGTGTGTATATGTGTTGAAATAGTATCAGCATGCCAGGCAAAACAGTTCATATTAGATCATTTCTGGTCAGCAAAACACACAGAGCTTAATTAGCCATTGTGGGGATTGGCTTGTGGTGTGTTTTGTTCAGTGAGGGTTTCACTTAACAAAGTAATGTTCTATCAGGGCTAGAACAGTAATGGATGTAAGGTATTACTTTGTTTTCTGTCACCACCCTCTTTGACTTGACAGATTTGATCTTTCTTTCTCCAAAGAGAAGGAATGTATTGCTAATCCTGTGTACTAGACGAATACTAGATATCCCAGGTTACAGAAGAAGACCCTGATAAACAGGGAACTGAAGATAACTCTCCAAAAAACCTAAATGTCTTAGTTTTCACTCAAGAATATCTGTAGCTCCTGTTTTGGAAGTGGTGGAAATTCCTCTTGCTAAGAGGTGGTGGGAGATGGGCGATTTGAGAACGAGGCTGATACTCACATGGGTTTCTTACTGTTTACTTAGGTGCCACCCTGTGTGTTATTTGTCAAGATCGGAATTCTCTTCGCCAGACTGTTGTCCGGCTGGAGCTGGAAGATGAATGGCAGTTTCGATTGAGGGATGAATTCCAGACTGCCAACGCAAAAGAGGACAGGCCACTTTTCTTCCTGACTGGACGACATATTTAATAGAAACTAGACACTTTTCCTGAATAACTAGGGAAAAAAAAAAGAAGAAGAAGAAGAAGAAGAAGAATGATACAGGAGACTAATTGCCAGCATCTCATGAAATGGCTTTTGAGAGGCTGTGCTTTCTGAGGAGAAACAGGACTTGCCATTGTCTATTAGAATCAATTTATCCTCTTATTTCCAAGCACTGTAAGTGGATTTTCTAATTTAATTGTCTGACGGAGGTAATTCTTGATTCCTGGGAAGGACAGAGAAACTCATTATTCCTCGTGGCAGCAAAAAATTTCAATCAGAAGGGAAATCAATGAATGCATTTCTTCTGACACAAAAAAGACCACATGCAAGTTGATAAGCAAGAGTTTTAGAAAACTTGTGTCCATTCCAGAAATAGGAAATGTAAATGTAGGAACAGATTTTGATTTTGTTTTACAAGTCTTATTTATCTAACTGTTGGCACAAGGCAACAGGAATTGTTACAGTCTTGTAGGATATTGCTCTTAATTGATCCAGGTAGGCTTTTTAATGAAGATATGTAAAGTATAATTCTTAAAGAATGGGAGCCCAGTTGGAGTCTTATTTTTTTTAACAGATGCCAACTGGATAGTTTTAGTATACGGGAATCTTGGGATGGCAGCATAATCACATGTCTGAATTTCATGGCATAAAGAAGAGCCAGGAAAGTAAATTTGACAATGAAATCTGAACGTTTAAACATGAAAATGAAACTGCTTGGCACAACTGAGAACACCAAATGGTGAGATTTACCTGCAAGTGATTTTTACATCTAGAA